TATATGATTAATACTAAAATTAATTAAGAATCTAGAGCTAATTGACTAATGACAATCGAAGTAAGGACTAAGCAAAGGAAGATATCAATGGGAAAAAATAGGGTTTTGATAGAATATGTGCAAGATAATTGTCTGTGATTTAACTATAGATAATTCAGTTTTAATGTTCAAGTGAGTCTCTCAAAGTCACTCTATTATTAGTTCAAACGTTCAGCAAAAACTCGTCTCTCGATTAAGTCTTATCCTCACGAGATGAACCAATATGAGCACTGTGAAGATATGCAAGAATGTGTAGTGGATCGGTCTTTAGGAAAATCTCTTTCGATTATTCTCCTAACTAGATTTAATTAATGATTCAACTGGCCTCTTTCGATTACTTAGAAGAATCTATGAACTCAACCAACAATATAATGCAAAGATATCACAAGTTATGCCTTTTTCGATTATAAGAACAAGTGAATATGGATGCAACAATTAAATCTTCCAAAAATGATTCAAATACATAAAAATAGAGTTATAATCCACAAACAATTATCAATACACCAAATCCATCAAAACCCAAAAGGATCTACTCCATAGACATGGAGAAGTTCTTCACATATGAAATTAAAGTATAGAAAAACATAAATTCAATCCAAACCCGGATCTTGAGTGAGGAAGGAATGATGAAATCCTTGTGCTTGTGTTCTTCCAATTCCTCCTTAGCCTCCTTCACCTCCTTAGGTCGAAAATCTGTCCAAAAGTCCGAAAATGGTGTTTTACCGTATATTTAAGCCATCCCCCAATAATTCCCGGATGAAAATACCCTTTTTAGCGGAAATGGAAAGATACTCTAACATTTTTGTACTACCGCGCCAAATGCTGCGCCGCCCTATGCGGCGCGGCTGTGCAATTTTCTTAGAGTAGTTCGTTTCTCCAATTTTTAACATCCGGACTTGGTCCTTGACCTCCGAACGCGATCCCGATTTAATTCTTTGGGCTTCTACTCAGACTTTAAAGCTCCAATTAGCTCAAATTTGCTGTGCAACATCTAAATAACTCGAAATCACTTTTACACGGCATAAAACACACAATAAGTGCAAAATACTACTAATTAAAGCTCAACATAAGTAAAGTGCAGTGAATTAGAGTGTAATAAGCGACTAAAACATGGGATTATAGTCTACCATCAATATCCCACACTTAAACCATTGCTCGTCCTCGAGCAATTAGACTACACTTTCACATAGACACGACCCTTTTAAACAACTCTCCTAACTCATCACACCAAGAATAATAAAACAGATTAAGCACAATACCGTAACATTCTCGCGTCAAGATTTGACTCAAAAGCACCACACATTTTTTACAACCTACTCACTTACTCTAACATAGAGGTCAATGACATTACCTTTCCTTCATAAATCAAGTGCCCTCACACAACAATAAAGAGTAGTTCCACACATAATAAAGTTTAAGAATAATTAGAAACTCAAGATAGGAAGAATTCGCTCACTTTGAGAAACAATATTCATGTGCCACAAAAGATGTACCATAAGCTTGCCCGTAATGTATTACTCTACTAATTGATCTCATTAAGTCAAGGATCAAGTAGGACTTTATGTGGTTGTCATGTAAGTTGCAGGATGAGTTGGATATATTTGATATAAACGTGACTACACCTCCCTAAGCACTTTAATACATACAATTTAATCATTTAAAACTCCATACTTATGTCAAACCATAACTCCACCTTCACATCTGTATATATCAACTCCCAACTTCCTTAAGCACAAATACATCAAAAGTTACCACTATCAATGAATATTTGCACAACATTACAACTATTTGTTTTCAATTCAAGTGGCACTTTTTTTTTTCAAAACAGTGCACCTTTTTCCTTATTTAATTAGTTCCACTAAAAAACCAAAACAACACCCCACACTTTAACTTTTACAAAGTTCATAACAATTTCAAGTGCTCGCGAGAGGTAAAATGGGTAAGTGATGATATGCTATAATTACATAGTTTGGCTATTAATTACACTATAATTCGCTGCACTTTACTAGTGTTTGAGCTCTAAATGGTATTATTTTGCACCGAGTGTGTGTTTAATGCTTGTAGGAGAGACTCCGATTTATGATGAGGTTGTGGAACTAATTGAGCTATTGTGGAGCTTTGAAGTCTGTGTAAAAGCCATGGATTAAGTTGGGATCGTAATCAAGATTTAATGAACAATAATGCACTTAGTGAAGAGGATCGAAGAATGGAGCAAGAAGTCACCCAGGTGTGCGACCACATGCGCGATCGCGCACCTGGGTGCGCAAGTGAAATAGAAGAATGCCCAAAGTACGCGGTCAGTGCGCGGTTGCGCAAGCGGTGTGCGACCACTGCCCAGGTGCGCGATCACGCACATCCTGTCCGGAAAATTTTCCAAGCCTATTTTTGTAATTTCGGAGGCAACTCTTCTGGACCTATATGAAGCCCAACTCGTCTAAAAAGAGGGGAGCTGAGGATTTTGGGGAATGTTTTACCTAGAGAAGATTGGAGAGACACCAAGGAAAGAGACTCAAGAATTGTTCAAGATTTCAACCCACAGTCGGTGCAATACGAGAGTTTGTATAAATCTTTATAATTGATGTTTTCTTTGTTCTTAAGCTTATTTGAGATATCATACTCTATTGTTATGGAGTAATTTCTATTTGGGTGTTGATAGATATGGTGTTTCAATAGCTGGACAAGGGATTCGATCTTGATACTTGCTAGAATTGATCGATGGAGCTTGAATTGTATTGTGGAGTTAATTAGTATTTTGCTTAATCGAAAGATAAGTTCGATATTAATTTTCTGCACATCTTATGCTCTAGTTTAAATTCACGATTCAAATAGTTAATCGAATGAGACTCTTGAATTGTTGATTGATCGAGAAAATAGGGAATATTTGTGAGAAGTTACCCTTTAGATCATAAACATCATTTTTTATTCTTGCAACTGTTTACCATGCTTCAATTGGGTTAATTACTGAACTAGTGTTTAATCGAGAGAGGAATATTAGCTTCAAGAGTAATCTGATAATCGGTTGAATTCGTAAGAATCAATCGTATTATAGAGTGAATTAACTCAAGAATTGGATCCCGAGTCAGTTATCGTGCACCCATCTAGTCAATTACCCTTGTTTTCCTCATAAATATTTCTTCGTGCTTACTTGCTCTTTTTAGTGATCAATTGTTATTTTCCTGACCTTCAATAGTTAATCGTAGTAATATATATCCTACCAAGTGTTAATTTTACTGGATAGTAATCAACTGGAGATTATTCAACATTGTTTTATTCCAATTCATGTGGAGACGATAATTTATATATACTATCTTTGACTAGCGAGCACAATTTAAATGTGTGTTTCACGCTTGTCAAATTTTGGCGCCATTGCCAGGGATTGGCAATCGATAGTGTCAAAAATAATTTGTAGTACTAATTCAGGAACTAATTTTTTCTTTAGTGTATTCACGTTTTCTCACCTGCGCGCAGGGTACAAATTTTGATTTCTCTGGTGTATAACTTGATCCTCTTCAAGGGAAGTAATATCATATGAACCAGAATTGGAAAAACACCTGCGACATCTGAGAAAGGAAAGAGAATTAATAGACAAATCTTTGAGACAAACTTCAACTCAAGGAACCATGGCAAACGAGGACAATGAAGGAGTATATTTAGCTACAAGGGAGGTAGCACAACACAAAGTTGCACAAAGAATTGCTGACTAAACAGTCAAACTAAATGGGGGTCAAAGGTTCAATCAAAACTGACCTTTGGTTGAAGACCAGTTCGAGAACGCACTACCCCGACCGGGAAGATCATTGGGTGACTATTCTAGGCCTGTATATAATCAAGGAATGTCAAGTGTCAGACCTCTACCTATAGTAGCAAACAATTTCGAATTGAAGCAAGGCTTACTTCAAACTATCCAAAATAACTGCACCTTCAGAGGGAAGATGAATGAAGATCCTAACACTCACTTGATGGACTTCGACGATATCATGAACACCTTACAATACAATGGAGCATCAAATGATGCTGTCTACTTAAGGGCATTCCCTTTTTTACTGAAAGATGACGCGAAGCAATGGCTTCACAGCTTACCCGCAGGTTCTATAAGGACATGGGAATATATGACCAAGAAGTTTCTTGACAAATAATTTTCGGCTGCAAAAATAGGAAAGTTCAGAAGGGAAATTCATTATTTCTGCCAGAAAGAGACAAAAATGGTTTTTGAAGCTTGGGAATGATTCAAGGAGATAATCATGAAGTGTCAGCACAATGGAATTGAATTGTGGATGCAACTCCAGGATTTTTGGGATGCATTGACACCATCCTCGCGACGAACTCTGAATACTGCATGTGGATGTCCAATAATGAAGAAGACACTAGATGAGGTTGTCTTAATCCTTGATGAATTATCTGAGGATGCTAACCAGTGGCTGTCTGAGAGTAATGACAGAAGAAAATCAGTTGGAGTTCACCAGGTGGATTCTCACACATCTATGCAAGCCCATCTAGACACCATGGCTAAGGAAATAAGAAAGCTGACATTAGCTAAGGTACAAAGTGAGCCACAACTAGCATGTGACTTCTGTGGATTGGGACACCCTACACACGAGTGCCATGTATCCGCTGAGGAAGTCAATGTAGTGAGAAATTTTAATAGAGGAAACTACCAAGGTGGAAAAAACTATAATGCCATAGGTCAAAGACATCCAGTTTTTTCGTGAAGTTCACCCAGCGGAAGCCTGAATTCATAGCAGCAAAATAATCCCAGACCCCAGGGTCAAGGACCACTAGGTTTTTAGAACCAGCATAGGTAGCAATACCAGCCACAATAGTTAAATCAGTCTACTATGGAAGATCTCATGAAGGAATTCATCAACAAATGTGATGAAAAATTTGAGACTCAGGGCACAGCCAGCCGAGAGCAGGGCACAGCCATCCGGAATTTAGAAAGATAATTGGGACAAATTGCAAATATGTTATCTGAGAGGACTCCTGAGACTTTTCCCTCTGACACTGAAGAGAACCCAAAAGAAACAATCAAAGATGTATCTCTAAGTGGAAAAATGTTGGCCTATCCAACGGAAACATCTAGAGCCGCTATGGTGAATAAGCAGGCAGAGACACCAATAGAAAAAGAAAATGAAGAGCAGCAGGGCCAGAGTAGTGGGTTACAAAATGAGATTGAACAAAGTAGACATATGCCAGCTCTGCAATTTCCCCAAAAGATGAAGCGGGAAAAACTGGACAAATATTTTGGGCGATTCTTGGAAATGCTCAAGCAACTCTATGTGAACATTCCTTTCACGGAGGTACTCACTCAGATGCCTGCTTATGAGAAGTTCTTGAAGGAAATCTTATCTAGCAAGAGAAAACTGGAAGAGACAACTGTGGTCAAGTTGAATGCCCACTGCAGTGCCATATTACAAAATAGAATTCCCCAAATATGTGGGGACCTAAGAAGCTTTACCATACCATGCTCGTTGGGGAGTAAAAAATTCGATATTGCCCTCTGCTATTCTGGTGCATCAATAAATCTAATGCCTCTGTCTGTATTCAAAAAACTGGAAGGTGAGCTTGGTATGATCAAATCAATACTAGTATCTCTACAACTAGCTGACCAGACCACCATTTTGCCTAAGGGAACCATCGAGGATATTCTAGTACGAGTGGATAAATTTGTTTTCCCCGTAGACTTTATTGTGGTGGATATGGAGGATAACAAGGAAGTACCTCTAATTATGGGAAGGCCATTCTTATGTACAGGCAGAGCTATCTTAGACATCTATAAAGGTCAACTCATGCTTAGAGTGGGTAACGAAAAAATAGTATTCCAGATGAAGAGGATAATGAAGTACCCGAGTGATGATGCATCCGCCTACTCATGTTTTAAAATGGATGTGGTTGAAGAATTTACTAAAATTTACAAATTTGATAAGCTTGTGGAGGATAATATCGAGAGGTGTATTACTCAGTTTGGCACAGTGGAGGATGAAGATCCTACAATAAAGAAAGAGGTTGAAGCACTTGAAACTGAGGATCAAGAGGTCGATGAGCATGAATTAAAAGAGGAGGCTTCTAGACCTAATGTGGAACTGAAAGTCCTCCCCACTCACTTAAAATATGCTTTTCTTGAAACTCACAATTTTCCTGTGATTATTTATGCTGATTTGACAGGTACACATGAGCGAAAGCTTGTGGAACTACTGAAGAAGCAGAAGAAGGCCATTGGCTGGAGTATAGCTGATATCCAAGGAATCAGTCCAGCAATTTGCATGCACAAAATCGTGTTGGAAGAAAATAGTAAACCAGTCTTGCAGCCCCAATGCAAGCTGAATAAAAATTTGTAGGAGGTAGTGCACAAAGAGATCATCAAATTGCTAGATGCGGGAGTGATCTTTCCCATATTTGACAGCCAATGGATTAGTCCAGTTCAAGTTGTACCAAAGAAGGGCGGCATGACGGTGGTGAGAAATAAAGAAAATGAATTGATTCCGACAAGAACAGTCACTGGGTGGAGAATGTGCATTGAATAGAAGGTTGAATGATGCAACAAGGAAGGACCACTTTCCACTACCCTTTATTGATCAAATGCTAGAGAAAGTGGTTGGACACGGTTGCTACTACTTCTTGGATGGGTACTCCATCTACAATCAGATACCATTGCCCCAGAAGACATTGAGAAGACCACATTCACATGCCCGTCAGGTATTTTTGCTTACAGGAGAATGTCATTTGGGTTGTGTAATACACCTGCCACTTTTCAAAGGTGCATGATGTCTATATTCTCCGACCTAAATGGGAAGTGTCTAGAAGTATTCATGGTTGATTTCACCCTTTTAGATGATGACTTTGAAGACTGCTTAAAGAACTTAGAGCTTATGCTTGAACGTTGTGAAGCTATACACTTGGTCCTTAACTGGGAAAAGTGTCATTTCATGGTAAAAGAGGGAATTGTCTTGGGCCACAAAGTTACCTCTCATGGAATTGAAGTTGATAGAGCCAAGGTAGACGTAATTGCTAGACTCCCTCCACCAACTTTTGTGAAGGGGATATGGAGTTTTTTGGGACATGCGGCATTCTATAGGAGGTTCATCAAAAACTTCTCCAGTATTACCAAACCGTTAACTGCATTTCTAGCAAAGGATGCCAAGTTTGTTTTCAATGTGGAATGCTTAAGAGCATTTGAATTGATAAAGGAAAAGCTGGTAAGTGCCCCTATTATGGTGACACCTGATTGGAGCCAGGCATTCGAGATAATGCGTGATAGCAGTGATGTAGTTGTGGGGTCAGTTTTGGGGCAAAAGAAAGATAAGATGTTTTGGTCAATTTACTATGCCAGCAGAACGTTGAATGAAGCTCAAGTCAACTATGCTACTACTGAGAAAGAGTTCTTTGTTGTGGTCTTTGTTTTTGACAAGTTTAGATCATACCTAGTGGGGAGCAAAGTGATCGTTCACACAAATCGCTCAGTCTTGAAAGATCTATCAAATAAAAAGGAATCCAAACTGCGTCTGATGCGGTGGGTGTTGTTGATCCAAGAGTTCAACTTAGAGATCAAAGACAGGAAAGGCACAGAAAATCAAATCTCCGATCATCTATCTCGACTTGAGAAACCTCCAATTGAAACAATGGTCGTGAGAGAAGAGTTCCCTGATGAGAAAAAATTCTCCATTGCTGCAATCTCCGAAAGACCACCTTGGTATGCTGATATAGCCAATTTTTTAGCAAGCGGATTATTAATTAGTGACCTCTCTCATGATCAAGGTAAGGCAAAAAATTATTTTTGGAATGAACCTAACTTATTTAAACTGTGCGCAGATGGGGTGATTCGAAGATGTGTACCTGAAGGATAAATGGCAAGCATTCGTTCTCATTGCCACGACAGAGCAGTTGGAGGACACTACAATGGAAATCACACTGCAACAAAGGTCATGGAAGCCGGTTTCTACTTGCCTACTTTGTACAAAGACGGTCGGGCATATGTATCTGCATGTGACAAATGTCAAAGGACATGTAACATCAGTAAGAGGGATGATATGCCACTAAACTCCATTATGGTATGTGAAATTTTTTATGTTTGGGGCATTGACTTCATGGGTCCGTTTCCATTGTCTTTTTCACGTGAGTATATCCTAGTAGCTATTGATTACATCTCTAAATGGGTTGAAGCAATTCCTACTAGGACCAACGATGCTCGGGTGGTGTGTGAGTTCTTATGAAAAAACATCTTTACCCGATTCGGGACTCCTCGAGTGATTATCAGTGACAATGGGTCACACTTTGTGAACAGACAATTTGCTGCACTACTTTCCAAGTATGGGATCACGCACAAAACAGGAACCCTATACCATGCCCAAACTAGTGGGAAAGTTGAAGTGGCTAACCGTGAAATAAAACGAATTCTCGAAAAGACGATTAGTGCTTCTCGCAAGGATTGTTCTATAAAAGTGGAAGACGCTCTATGGGCGTATAGAACTGCATTCAAAACAACCATAGGGACTTCACCATTAAAATTAGTCTATGGAAAATCGTGTCATCTACCCGTTGAAATAGAACATAAAGCTTACTGGGCTATTAAGATGCTTAATATCGATCTTAGTCTTGCAGGCAAGCACAAGCTGGCACAAATGAAAGAATTAGAAGAGTTTCGACTGGACGCGTATGAAAATGCGCGTCTCTTTAAAGAAAAGACGAAGAGGTGGCATGATCGTCTGATTAAGCCAAGGGAATTTCAGGAAGGGGACAAAGTCTTACTATACAATAGTAGACTTATATTATTCCCCAAAAAATTCAAATGAAGATGGACATGTCCGTATGTGGTGAAACATATCTCACTGTACGACACCGTTGAAATTCAGGATGAAGAAGGTAATGGAAGCTTTAAGGTGAATGTGCACAGGCTAAAACAGTATGTTGTTGGATGGAAAAGTAAAGCGCGAACAAACATTCCGAACAGATAAGGTTGTAATAGGGAAATACCCTACAAGGTCTGCAGAGGCAGTTAGTGAGAACTCCGATGCACCCGACGAGGGTAATGAGGGTCACAGGAAAGATGACACTGCTTCTCCGCCGCGTGCTCAGGGTGTTGATGAAACCTCAAGTGGTGGATGGAACACAAGAATGGGCACTCTAGAGCAGGAGATGACCTGGATGCACACCTCAATCACTGACTTGGGAGCAAGAGTGGACGACCTCTCCACACAAAATGCCAAATCTGAGAAGAAGATTATGGCTTGGCTGCGTGCACTTGGCCGGGCTTGTCATATGGACCCCGGTACCGTCTCCGACATAGATTGACTTGATCAGGGAAGTTTCCTTCACATTCGCACTTCTCTTTGTGTGTCATGGGGACATGCCACCATTTAAAGTATGGGTTGGGGAATGAGTATGTATATGCATTTTGTTTTTGGTAGTTTTAGTTGCTTTGTTTAGTTGACATAAAAATAAAAATAAAAAAATAATTAATTTTTTTAAATTAAGGTAGTGTATTAAATTTCCCTTGATTTTTCTGTGCCGCGGTTCTTTTCTAAGGGATTTAATTGAACCGTGTGTAGTTAAATTTTTTTTCTTTTCTCTATTGTTAGGAGTACGTACCTTGAACTCTGATTTGAATGAAAAAGGCAACATCTAATTACTCTTTCATGCCTTGAGAATAGTGAGTGCTCTAGTTGTGATGCTTATGCTCAGTTTTGACTCTTGCATAAGTACCCTAAAATTTTATGATCTTAACTGTGCTTAACTGCTTTGACTAGAGTGTCTTGATGAGTCCAATCCTGAGTGATTTATGTGCCATGTGTGTGTGAGTTTTTTTTGTGCTATTCATTGCATTACATTTTATGTCCAGAACTTGCCCTGTGTGTTTGCAAAGAGAAACGGTAGTTAATTCAGTCTTGGAAGTGATATAGGCATTTCTTTGTTGAGCCAGTATATGCCTTATCCACCTAATTGTTATGTATCATAGTTAACCCCCTTTGAGCCTTTTATCCTGTTTCTTTGGCAACCACGTTACGAGCCTTAACCAGTTGTTTGAATTAACTCGTTATTTGAACCTTTCACTCCCATGAGCACTTGAAATTGTTGTGAACGTTGTAAAAGTTGAAGTGGGGGTGGTTGGTTTGGATTTTGAGTGGAACTATTGAAATAAGGAGAAAGGTGCAATGTTTTGAAAAAGTAATAGCCACTTGAATTGAAAAAAAAAGCTTATGTCAAATAATAAGTGCATAATTGTGAAGAATATACATTGATAAATGGTAACTCTTGATGTAATTGTGCTTAAAGAAGTTGGGAGTTAATGTATATTGATATGAAGTTGGAGTTATGGTTTGACATAAGTGTGGGGTTTTGAATGATAAATTATATGTATTAAAGTGCTTAGGGAGGTGTAGTCACTCTTATATCTAAATGTATCCTACCCGTCCCGCAGCCTACATTACAACCAATTAAAGTTCTACTTGATCCTTGACTGAATGAGCCCGATTAGTTGAGTAGTACACTACGGGCAAGCCTATGGTTCATATTTTGTGGCATATGAATGTTATTTCTGAGAGTGAGTGAATTCTTTCTATGATTGAGTTCCTAATTGTTCTTAAATTCTATTGTGTGTGGATCTACTCTCTTTTGTTGTGAAGACACTTGATTCATGAAGGAAAGGTAATTCTGGATCTCTATGTTAGAGTAAGTGAGCGAGTTTTAATTAATGCATGGTACTTATGAGTCAATTGTTGAGGGTGGGATGTTACACTATTGTGCTTAGTCTATTTTAAATATTCTTGGTATGATGAGTTATAACAGTTGTTTAAAAAGGTCATGTCTTTATAATGTGTAGTTTGATCGCTCGAGGATGAGCAATGGTTTAAGTGTGGGGTGTTGATGGTAGGCTATAATTACATATTTTGCCAATTAAGTATACTCTAATTCGCTGCACTTTACTAGTGTTTTAGCTCTAAATGGTATTATTTTGCATTGAGTGTGTGTTTTATGCTTTGTAGGAGCGACTCCGATTTATGATGAGGTTGTGGAACTAATTGAGCTATTATGGAGATTTGAAGTCTGAGTAAAAGTCATGGATTAAGTTGGGATTGTAATCAAGGTTTAACGGACAATAATGCACTTAGCAAAAAGGAGCGAAGAATGGAGCAGGAAGTCACCCAGGTGCGCGACCACATTTGCGATTCTACACCTAGGTGCGCAAGGGAAACAGAAGAATGCCCAAAGTGCGCGGTCAGTGTGCGGTCGTGCACATAGGCATGCAAGCGGTGAGTTATCGCCTTCCCAGGTGCGCGATCGTGCATATCCTGTTCGAAAAATTTCCCAAGTCTATTTTGGTAATTTCAGAGGCGACTCTTTT